CAAATAAGAAATTTGCATCACTATTTTTATTTTTTTATTATACAATCGTACCCATTTAACAAAAAAAGAAGACATATATTTGAATTTAGAAATTTTTTTGTTTTTGATACTATTTTTTAAAAAACATTATTTTATCTAAAGTAACGAGCCGGGCCTCTAAACATTTCAACAAATTACAATTTATCCATAAATTTGTCAAGAGACGGGATATCTTCGGAAAGGCCTTTCCTTTTCCTTACGGCTTTTACGATATCACAGACTTTTCCAGGTTCTAACGGTGTTCCATTCATTAATTGCCCTATGAATCGATTTAAAAAAAAACCAGAAAAGTAAATATTAAAATCACAAAGAAACCCAAATAATGATAGGAATGAAAAGAGAAACTTACAATGTGAGAATACACCTATAACAGTTTTTTAATAATGACAATAAAATAAGTAAATAAATAAGTAAATAAATCTTTCTTATTTGAAAAATAACAAATTTTATGTGAAAAATTTACATTGAGGGAACGCTTGACCACCAGTATTTGATCGTAGGTCAGCCGTAAAACCAAACGATTCGTTTACCTAACCAATTAAAATGAGGTTAAATAATGTAAATTCAAGTAAATTTGCAGAATAATAAAGATATGCAGGATACTTACGGGTAAATAAGCCTTGACATTGTATAGTGGAGTACCAGGTCGCTGTTCTTCAGCAAAAACGTTACCACGGCGCCTGTTTAATACACCATAAATACCGCCCATAGCCTGTTCCGGACATTGAATTTCAACAAGATAGACTGGTTCCAAAAGACCAGGATTTGCGGTTAAATATGATGCATAGATTACGCGACGACATGTAGGGATAATTTGTCCACCACCACGATGAATAGCGTCAGCGTGTAATACTACATCCATAACATTGAATCGACAAGAACGCATGTTTTCTTCGGCACAAACGCCTTCTTTTGTAGCCCATTGAAAGGCAGCAACACAAGAATCCTTAATTTCATTAAGATATTGAACACCCTTTGTTACATCTACTAATAAGTTTGCTCCGACGGATTCTGGACCGAAACACCAAATCTTACGAGCATCTGTTACATCCCAGCCAAATTCTTCAGCAAGGACACGAGCACGTGCTTTGAAATCATCACGTGGTGTAATCTTTCCGGATTCAATAGCAACGGCAAGTTCTTCTTCCAATGGAAAGGCTTTCATATATAAACGATTGTGTTTATTTGGTGATTTAGATAGTGCAGTAACAGATGATTCGGCTTGGACAGTCTCACAGTATGATACCACAGGGTCACCAGTTTTTATCGGAATTTGGGCATGATCCTCTTCCAAATCTTTTAAGCAAATTTCTAAATGTAATTCGCCAGCTCCTGCTACAATATGTTCACCAGATTCAGATGTATAACATTGGACGCAGGGATCAGATTTGGAAAGACGTTTTAATCCTTCTACTAATTTTGGTAAATCATTTGCGTTCTTCACATCAACGGCAACTCGTACGACGGGTGAAACTGAAAATTTCATAACCTTTAAGTTATGCGCAGTTTCAGAAGTGGTGATGGTTCCAGATTTGAGTAAATATTGGTCAACACCAACAAGACCGACAATATTTCCGGCTGGACAATCTTCAATAGGTTCGACATAACGGCCCATCATGAGAATAGTACGCTGGATGGACTTTATAAATAGATCTTCCTTTTTTCCAGGTTGATAATTAGGACCCTGAATACGGACTTTAAGACCAGATCGAACAGTACCAGAAAATACACGACCGAAAGCGTAGAAACGACCTTTATCTGAAGTCGGTAC